GCAGGTTAGTGGTTAGACAAGAGGCTGGGGACCAGGACTGTGTAGCCAGTGTCTCAGAGACTGGGTGGGTGAATTCACAGGGTTGGCATATTGGGGAAGACAGGTCCAGCTTGCTCCGGAAGGACGGACAACGGCAGGAGGTGTTGCCTTGAAATACTAAAAACGTGCACACTTGGACTGAGGTGGAGAGGGACGTCAGAGACAGACTTGCTGAAAGTCTCTGGGTTCGGTTAAAAGGGGTAACAACCCAGGGGGATGTCGCACTGGGTCTGCTCCAGACACCGATCCAGGTAGACGAGGCTTTTTTGAACCAACTCACACAATCATCCGAAGCGCGGGACTCGGTGGCGATCGAGGATTTAACTACCCAGATAGAGCAACAAAAAGGAAGACAGGTCTAAGAAACGTGAGCTGCGAGGGGAGGCTGCGAGAACTGGGCTTGTTCAGTTTGGGAAGGAGCAGACTGAGAGGGGATGTGAGAGCAGCTTTCAAGTACCTAAAAAGGTGTCACAAGGAGGAGGTCGAACCGTTGCTCTCCTCGGCCTCTGAGGACAGGACAAGAAGCAAGGGGCTTAAACTGCAGCAAGGCAGGTTGAGGTTGGACATTAGGAAAAACTTCCTGCCTGTCAAGGTGGTGAAACGCTGGAATAAATTGCCTGGGGAGGTTGTGGAATCTCCATTCCTGGAGATATTGAAGAGCAGGTTGGACGGACGCCTGTCAGGGATGGTCTAGACGGTGCTTGGTCCTGCTGTGAGGGCAGGGGACTGGACTTGATGCCCTCTCGAGGTCCCTTCCTGTTCTAGGATTCTAGGATTTCTGGGGTCTATCCTTGGTTCTGGGAGGGGAGTGGGTCTTGGGGGGTCAGAGCTGGGGCTGGGAGCCAGGACTCCTGGGTTCTAGCCAAGCTGCAGAAAGGGAGTGGAGCCTAGTGGGGAGAGAGGCTGGGAGCCAGGGTTCCAGGCAATGTTCCTCTAATTTTTTCCATCCATGCGCGGAATAATTTTTTGATGTGCACCCAGGCCTGTGTGAATGTGCACCACCAGGAACACCAGCTGTGGGTGCTCTGCGAATCAGCTGGGCAGTATTTGAATCTTTCCTGAGCAGGCACACAAGTGCCCAGTTTCTAGGACACACTGGCTCCAGGGGTCTATCCCTGGCTCTGGAAGGGCAGTGGGGCCTAGGGGTTAGAGT